GGGGGGGGGAAATCACCTCTGATAGACAGAAGGGGGGAGAGCATTAGCCATTCAGGCAACAAAATTCAAGCATATTATTGTTTTTCAGAGACAAGAGAGAAAGCCCATCTGCATACAACCTTCGCTAGCAACAAGGTTCTGTATCTATTCTTGCCTTGGGTCTAATAAAGGGTTAACAAAATTTCAAGCTCTGAGAAAAAGACTAACAAGACATCCCGATGCTCCTGCTGTCATTGTCAGGGCAGCCCTTGGAGGAAATGTCCATATCAATTCAGTTTATCAGATGGACAGCTGATCAACATTAAACAGACTTGCTCTGGGCAGATTGAGCTGAGCTACCTGTTATGAATACCAACGAGAGCCCTCTGCTCCCTGCAACTGAATTCTGCTATTTCCGACTGCTGCAGATCCCAGGACATATGGGGATCCCTAGTGACGACCACATAAAGCTGCAGCTAACTCAAATGACGGCTCATTTCACCCAGCTGAAGGCAGACATTAATATCCTGAGGAGATCAGACCCGCCTCTCTGACCCCTAACTACTGAAGCAAAACAACGACTGTCCTATTTCTTCATTTAATAAGCTTTTAATGGAAAAAACCCCAAATCCCCTCTTTGACTTCAGCACAGCTCTCCATGAAAGGTTACACAAATACATCAGTATTGTATTTTCCAAATGCTCAGTAGCTGGATGTTTTCATTTTGTTTCCTATATTCAGTTGGTTCTCCAAAATGGTACTTGGATTTGTGCTATCAGGAGCACCAGATCAACAGCAAATTTGGAATAACTACTGAATGTTCCTTTAGAAGAATCTAAATCTTACCCTTTACTATCATTTAAATTGCTCCCTTCAATAGATGATTTGGAGGGGGGGGTATATTTATAACTTGATTCAAAAATTTCTCTCTGGCCCCAAACTGGTTGCAGAAAGCATCAGCTGAAGAGACGTTACTTAAAATTAGTTATGTTTATTGTGGTAATGCCTATGATCCTCAGTCAGAAACCAGGACCCCACTGTGCTGTAGGGGCACAGAACAACAATAACAACAAATTAATTTATTTAGATTTACAATTATCTTTTTTTGTAATGCCCTTGTAAAAGCTATAAACATTTTGGCAATAATTATATTTACAGTAATAACCAAGTACCATTCATTGTTGGTGCAGAACAATCACTGAAGTTTCATCTTCACAACAATACCTATGGGGCAATATCAAGTACATCCGAAATGCATACTTCCCCTCTTGATCAGGCTAAGCTAAGCCTCAGCAACTGAAAAATGTTGGTTCAAATCAAGTGTATTTTAAAATTGGAATTTATGACTGGAGTTCTCAGACATTTTCCATCATGCACACCACATCTTAATAAAGTAATTGTTTCATTAACCACTCACTGCTGCTCCCACTCCTTATTACACTGGCCACTTACCCATTAGTGTTCATATAATAAAGGAGCAGCAGCTACAGTGACTTCTTATGGCGATGGTGGCCAATCTTTTTGGCAGGCATGCCATTAATTAGGTCCAAGCATGCCACCAGTTAACCCTGTGCCCTCTAAGTGCTGTTATAATCACCATCCCCTTCTGCTCACTGCAATCTGCGACGTGCCAAATACACGTGCAACAAGTTGGCTACCCCTGGCTTAGGTAGAAAAGAAGCATTAAAGTCTTTAATGGTCAGTTCTTTTCAAAACTGGTTACCCTAAAGTTCAGTTCCTAAAAAAGGTGGATTAATCATCAGAGATGCTGAGCTGCCAGTGCTTTTCCAAAATATTTTTCCATGCCAAACCATCACAGGAAACCAGGAAAAGCAATTCCTACAGCCAACAAAGCTTGCTGCCGACTACCAGAAAATGACCCATCGACTATTTTCAGATGGAGCACTGATGTTATTATCCAAATTTTGTGCATCACTCAAAATTTAATAAATACAATATCCCACCATTAATTTTCTTTAAGGTGATTCTCTCTGTAACCATCACATTAAATTAAGAATAATATAAAAACCCAAAACAGTACAAAAACCACACCGAACATACGTATATCACATACATTAATGTAATGAGAGAATGCAAAGTGAAGAAAAATTAAGGGTTTTTACAGTAAAATTAGTTCAGTTATATAGTACATGTATAGCATTTTCCATTCCATTTTTTCCTTCTTAAATGCACACAACAGGCTAACATTCTAGTACATTTTATAGTAAACAGAATTACACACATTAGTGAAGTTACCATTCCTTTAGAAAGCTTACAACCTCTATCATGCCTAATACCACGAAGCCCAAACTATGTAAAGTGAACATTTATGGTGATCAAATGAAAGGAAGGACACTTCAGTGGTTAAAGTTCTAGCATGGTTCCATTCCCTGCTCTGCTGCTACTTGCATACTGTTCAGGTCAGCTGAAGCCAGACCAGCTTGGTTTGGGCATCCCAATATAAAGAATTTGGGCTCTGTCAGACTGGGCTTTAGACCGAGAACACCCATACACTCAATGAGGGAGACTTCTAAAGAGCAATCCAGTTTAACCAAGTTCATGCATCAAGGCGCAGAGAATGGGGAAAGATAAGCATGACCAATGGGCTATTCAGAAAACTACCTTATTTACTTAAACAAAAGATGAGGTTTGTTTCCCCATTAAATATGGGAGGGGATGTCCCTCATCTTAGAATTGAGTACAAGGTGGTAGGGAACAGGCAGCAGGATTGGGGTTGGAGCCACAGCTGCTGCCTGCTCCCCGCCACTCCTCCCTCCACAGCCTGAAGCCCCAAATGTCCCTTATTTGAACCCCTTCCTTCCCCCCTGCCACACTCCTCCTAACCTTTGCTCCACACTGGCAGACTTGGTCTTTGCTGCAGCCTGGAGCACAGCACCAACCCAGCTCTGTAGCAGCCATGTCAGCTCTGCACTGCTGCTACATGGCTAGGCTGAAGCCATACTCAGTGCCCCACAGGCTTCAGCAGGGACAGAGCCTGCTGGTGCCAGAGCAAAGGTAAAGTGGGAAGTAGAGGAGCAGGTGGCAGGGAAGACACTTCAGGGAAGAGCACAGAGGGAGATGGGAGGAGGCAGCAGAGATCTAAGTACTTGCCATGTATGGAATCTGATTACTGGGAGGGTTATCTTAAATTCAGGGTCATCTTAGATTTGAGTAAATATGATAGCAGGTGCCTAGAAGTGGACAATAGGAAACACCAAGGCAATGATTCTCAACCATGGTGCCAGGGC